CCAATAAAATCAAATGGGCAGAATTGCTCTAACAATTCTAGAAAGAGTGTGTTAAAGACGAACCTTAAGTTTTGGTATGCAAATGTTGATGGAGTTATAAACAAAGCAGAGAAAATAAAAGAACCTGATTTAATTGTAATAGCGGAAACAAAATTAAATTATATGATCTCTGATGCTATATTTCCAGGGAAATACTGTGAAGATGTGAATCCCATCTGTTGAGCTCACCCGACCCCATTTCCTGTTCCCTGGTGGAAGGCTGTGATCTTACTGATACCTGTGTTGTTTCCATCTTAATAGACAATTTGTACTCCTCAGAAGTGATATGGATGGTACCTTGGTCGACAAAAGCTAGTTCACCCATGACAGTCCTGAACTCAAGACCTGTTCCAGTGGGAACAAGTTGGCCGAGTCGGTGGAGACTATCAGATGTCTGTGATAACCAGTGAAATGGCTCCAGACCAGAGGCATTGACAAAACTTTCTATATTCTGTTTGGCAATAAATCCTCTAGTCATATAAATCTCAAAATAAACAATACCCAAATTTGTAACAAATTAGATGGCAAATTCCTTGGCATTCTCATTGACCACAAGCTGAATTTCCAGGGACACATTCTAAATATATCAAAAAAAGTTTCAAAAACTGTGGGCATTCTTTCTAAGATCAGATATTATGTACCACGCCCTGCCCTGGTGACTCTCTATTACTCCCTTATCTATCCTTATCTCAACTATGGTATTTGTGCTTGGGGTTCTACTACCCAAAATCACTTACGTCCTCTAATTACCCAACACAAAGCTGCTATTAGAACAATATCCAACTCTGGCCCCAGACATCACTCGGTACCCCTACTCAAATCTCTGAATATGTTAGATATTAAGTCACTGCACATTCTCTCATGTGTATTATACATATATAAAACGCTAAACTATAATGCCAATCCTGATCTTAAAAGCTTCATAGAAGGTTGTAACAGAACCCATGAGCACCACACCAGAAATAAATACAGTTTTGATATTCCTAGAGTACGTCTTAATCAAACTAGAAATGCTCTGCAAATCAAGGGGCCCAGAATGTGGAATGACCTTCCCAACCATGTTAAAGACTGTACCTCTCTCAACCAGTTTAAGATAAAAACTAAACACTACCTAATAAATTCCCTGTAATCTACCTCACTCCTCTATTGTCAACCCATGTCTGTTATTTTCTTTTTTTTTTTTTTTTTTTAATCAACACTGTTTGTCAACCTATTGTATTTGTGCTGCTTTTTCAGTCATGTTCCCCCTTTTTTTATCTTTATTTGTATTTGTTCTCAACACTTTTTATTCTTTATGCTCAATTAGTATTAAGTTCTAGATATTTATGTTTTTCTTGCCCGAAACGCATTGCGTAATAGTGGCTTTAGGCATTGTATGTACTAGCTCTATCTATATATCAATCCATTAATGTAACATCACTTGTATGTATATACCTTACCTGAATAAACATCTGAATCTGAATCTGAAAATATTGGTGATTTTACTGACATATCCCGGGATTGCCAAGTTGAGTTACTAGATGGAATTAACGTCCGTCTGTCCTCTAAGTTAAGGCTTGGTATAGATGAAGCCTTTAGGAGAAGCCAGCCAGTGTGTTATTAAAGACCAGCCAGCATGTTGCTGGAGAGTCGAAGTGGTGTTTTGACACTGGTCAAACACTGAACCACAAACGTTGGCACTGTGGAGGACTGGCTTATGATTTTCTGAGAAAGGTGGACTCGCCGGCAAGAGTACTTGAGAAGAAAGTCTCAGGGAAAGTACATTGAGTGTTGTATGATAGGAGTGAACTCGCCGGTATAGAAGATCGCAAAAGTTCTTTTGTACTGTCCTGTGTGAAAGTGACACCTGCGGTGTTATGTGTTGTATACATGTAGTAAGTGTATATAGTTAAGAAGTTTACGTGGTAATGGTTTTGTTTAGTGTTGTGTACCCCCATTCCGGTTACATTGACCATTACTGCAGTCCTTAATAACTTGCCTATGACTTAGGGTTGGATCTGGACAGAAGAGGCATTAAGGCCCGATAGAAAGTTTGAATGGAAAGAATCCGGTTACTGGCTAAGTGAGGCCGTAACAAATACCAAGTAATAAGGGAAGGAAGAAAACAAAGACTAGGAAGGGAAGCTGCACTCCTAATCAAATAAAAGAAGAAATTTAAATAACTATAAAATCAAAACACAAATAGATACTCAGGCTCTGTCACTGGGATCCAGACAGCAGATGGGAAAAGGACAGTGGTCATGACAATTTACAACCACCCAGCAAGCAACTGAATATCCAGACAGGAATGTGATGACAACAACAGCGCACGCACAGATGAATTGTAGAGAACTGCAACAACAGCACACAGAATGACAACTATACTACTAGTCATGGGGAAACCTAAATCACAAAGAGACCGATTGAGAATCGAGAAATCCCCATGGTGGTGAAGAAACATGGAGAGCAAGGAAAATGGATGTTGTGGAAAGAAACTTCTTAACACAGCATGTAAAGGATGACACAAGAGGGGTACCAAGTCGACAGGACCTGATCTTCCTCCAGAATGAGGAGGATATCGGAAATTTGGAGCATGAAATACCACTAGGAGCCAGTGATACTGGTATTTGACTTCATGATCGAACATAAAAACAATGACCACAAGACATGGGATCAGGGAAAGATTGAAAGAGAAATAGGTTTATTGAGGTATAAATTACACATAAAGAGATGATGTAGCTCAAGCTATTCTCACCCCGTTCAGAACAACGTGTTCATATATATAAACACACATCACAAACAATAAGCATATTATCGAACACTCTGAGTGATAAATATTTACATTTCTTCATTTACACAGATGTTACTACTGCTCGGCTTAGACTCGGTTACAAGTATCTCTGGGAATTCTCATTATTTGCTGATGTAGACCTGACCAAATGTAAACTGTGTCAACAAAATCATTCGCACACCCTCCGTTCCTATGTGATGGAGTGCGAAAAGATACGTGAATTTAGAGACAATTCTATAACCAATGTTCCAGCGATGTGTCAATATTTCATTCAAAATGATCTGCTACCAGAAATGTTAGCCAAATATTCCCAGTTTGCAAACTGTAGGTAGTAACTAAGTGATTGTAACCTATCCACCGCTGCCCACTGGATGGGGGGCGGTGTGCAGGACAAACATATCAATTGTGACACTAGCTCTCCACATATGTCAGTTGCTTAATTTAGAAACTGTACTTGTGGTCGGTCTCGAACCCATTGCTGATGTGACAATATGTATTGAATTTTGTAACTAGCTCATCAAGATTGTAACTTGCTTAGCTAAATGAATTGTGGGGTTCAGTCCCTGAGCCCATTATGTGCCTCTGTAACCCTTTCCTCTACCGCCCATAAGATGGGTATGGGGTGCATAATAAATGAACTAAACTAACTTCTTTTACACATGTAGTATGTTACCAGACGTACACACAAATAATTTTATGACTAGGTACACAGACAATTATCTCAGTGTTTCTATATACATTAATCAACGGGCAATCTAGAACATAATGGGTGAGGGTGTGAAACCTTAACATACCCCATAGTTTACACTTCGTGTCATTACCATTAACACCTATTTCATATTCCCAGTAATATTTGTACCCAAGCCTGAGCCGCATATGTACAACCCTGATCGAGTCGCATATGTACAGAGACACTCCAAGCATTTCTCCTTTTACCATAATGAAATGGGTGTTGTGGTTCACAAACATGTAATGTTGCAAGGTTTGACTTCCTTCATACACTATACCTCTTCTCGCCACTTCTGACTGTGCCTTAATATGTCTTATTTTGCTTCTTATTTGTCTCACTGTTAAAACGCATTCAATGTCAACTTGTAGTTTTTATTAGACTATAGAAAAGGGGATTACATGAATGTAAGAGAGTACCTTTGAAAGTGTGCAATGGAAGGAAGAATTTAGTGGGAAGACAGTCATGGAAATGATGGAGCCAAGTCAAACGGAGATGTAAAGAGGCTGAGATTTATACCAAACAATAAGATAAAAAAGTATGAGAGAATATAATAACCCGTGGGTCAGTAGGCAATAGCAAGAAGCAAAACTAAGAGCAACTATCTTCTTGAGGCTATCGTGAGATGATTTCGGGGCTTTTAGTGTCCCCGCGGCCCGGTCCTCGACCAGGCCTCCACCCCCAGGATGCAGCCCGTGACAGCTGACTAACACCCAGGTATCTATTTTACTGCTAGGTAACAGGGGCATAGGGTGAAAGAAACTCTGCCCATTGTTTCTCGCCGGCGCCTGGGATCGAACCCAGGACCACAGGATCACAAGTCCAGCGTGCTGTTCGCTCGGCCGACCGGCTCCTCCACCGGAGCAGGAGGAAGTGTAATGAATACAGAGCTCAAATAACAGAAGAATCATAATAGATGCAACTGGGGAAGGAACGCATAATACATAAATATAAGAAGTGTGTAGAAAGTAAATTATGAAAGTGATATTGCTTCTAAAGTAAAGAAACAACCAAAACGCCTACATAATGTTCATATTCTCCTACATAAGAAGGAAGATGACAGTGAACGACTAAGTAACTAGGTTACGAAAAGGGAGAGGTTAATATATAGGAAATGATAAGGAAATTTGTGAGAAACTCAATGCCAGCTTCCTTGTAGTGTTCACAACTGAGCCTGAACAACTTCCAGTGCTAGAAAAGGAGGTAACCCAAGATGAGAGACTGTTAAATATTGAAGCAACAACGGATGAAGTAAGGAAACAACTAAAATCACAAGACGAAACTAAACCTATTATACGAGATAATGAATCGCTATGAATGCTAAACGAAGCGGTGCAGGTCCTCAGTGTACCCCTAGTATTGAGACCTTTAATGAGTTACAAATGGTGAATAACCCAGATGCGGTCCCGCATGGAAGCTTTCTAATATGACATACGTTGTTGATGCGAATAATTGACTTTGTGGATGAATCTTCCTGATGATGATCTGACTATGGATGACCTTCCTGATGATCATTTGACAATGAATAACCTTCCTGATGATGATCTGACAATGGATAACCTTCCTGATGATCATCTGACAATGGATGACCTTCCTGATGATCATCTGACAATGGATAACCTTCCTGATGATCATCTGACAATGGATAACCTTCCTGATGATCATCTGACAATGGATAACCTTCCTGATGATCATCTGACAATGGATGACCTTCCTGATGATGATCTGACTATGGATGACCTTCCTGATGATCATCTGACAATGGATAACCTTCCTGATGATCATCTGATAATGGATAACCTTCCTGATGATGATCTGACAATGGATAACCTTCCTGATGATCATCTGACAATGGATAACCTTCCTGATGATGATCTGACAATGGATAACCTTCCTGATGATCATCTGACAATGGATGACCTTCCTGATGATCATCTGACAATGGATAACCTTCCTGATGATCATCTGACAATGGATGACCTTCCTGATGATGATCTGACTATGGATGACCTTCCTGATGATCATCTGACAATGGATAACCTTCCTGATGATGATCTGACTAAGGATAACCTTCCTGATGATCATCTGACAATGGATAACCTTCCTGATGATGATCTGACAATGGATAACCTTCCTGATGATGATCTGACTAAGGATAACCTTCCTACATCTATCGTTGCATGCTGAGCACCTGTGAGGGAATGTATATACATTATGTTGCTGTGATATAATAGTTACAAGGATTGAGTGTCAGCTCGACATTTATTCTGTTCATCTCCTTACTAGGAAAAATAAAATTTATATCAAGAAATTTATTTCAAATCAATACAACTGACGGTGTAAAGTAAATAACGATTCATTTTCACATCGTTTCTATTTGATGAGAAAAATTAATCTAAATATATTAATAAAAACTAAGATTTATAGATATATTAAGGAATTTAGATTATGCGAACTGCCGATGAGAAGTGTTTCTTAATGTTATCCAAAGTATCGATAAAGTTAGGTTGGGAATTTATGCAAAATAGATGATTGATCAGGTATTTAGTATAGCGTGCGTAAGCTGGAGCTACAGATGAGGGGTGAGAAGGAGTCAGGTGTGCAGGTGAATCAGAAGAACTGGTTGGAGATAGACTGGATAGGCGGGGAGGAAATAGATTGAAAAGGCCGGGTTTGATGGTGGGTGGAGTGAGTGACAATGCTAAGAGTCCGCTTGACTCCAGCAGGAGGTACAGTTGGTGAGCGTGCGGGGGAAGCAGCAGACACTCTGCTCTCGCTACACACACTGCTTACCTCACAGTGATCACGGAGAAGTGAGGTCTAGCTCTCTATTCTTCTAGCTCTCTATTCTCCGCCTACTAGCCTTCTACCTGCTGCGATATCATTTAACTATTCTAATATTCGAATTATTTCTGGAGTCTGGTCTTACAGTTGTGGATGGTGGTGACTTCCACAACTTTGAGTGCGTTCCATTCGAGAAGTCAAGGATGACAGTGAAACTATACCCGTAGAGGGTATTAGTATTTCACAACATTTTTACGACTCATTTGTGTTTGCAGCTTTCACTTGTGCCCTCACGTTCTACTTTCTCAAAATTTAAAGAGGCTCTCTTTGTTCACATTGTCAATTCCTTTCAGTATGTTGCGATCAATTAAGTTCAGGTTCAAGTAAGTTTATGGGAATAATATAATCCAAAAGGATAGAGAAGGTTAGGCTATTACTACCATACTCTGTTTAATTCAGGTCCCTCAAGGGGCTCACAAATCCATACAGTACACAATTAATAATCATATTGTATATTACACATTCATTTACACTAATTAAAAAGTCCTCGCATAATACATGCAAATTATATTACAATAATTTTAGTATTATATTCTTTGGGTAAAGTGTTTAAACCTCCTAAGAATTGTCCCTATCATATTATTATCACACATCCAATAAATTTGCTGTGGTACACTACTAATTTCCAAATTTTGTAGTGATCAAGTAATTTATTATCAAATATAGTTATCTAGCGTGTGCATACCTGAGTTTACCTGAAAGCCACTAACACTAGTGGCCTCGACAAGGACAGGAAGCCGGCGGCTTGTCGAAGTCCCCTCATTTGCATTGATGATCTTTTCTAGCTGTACTTTAAAAGTTAACAGAATTTTGGAATTTGCGGCTTCGTCGGGTAGGCGGTTCCATTGATTAATAACCCTATGCGTGAAAAAGCATCTATTGTTCTCAGTCCTACATTGTGGCTTGTTGACCTTGAAATCGTTGCTCCTTGTGTGTGTTATATTTGACCTTTTGAAGAAATTTTACAAATCAACATTCTCCAAATTGTTCAGTATTTTTACAGTTTCAATAAGATCCGCCATGTCATGCCTGGTTTGCAGTGTTATTAGCCCTGTGGCACCTCAATCGTTCCTTGCACGTGAGTTGACTTTGCTCTGGACTGATTTTTATTGCCCGGTGTTGCACTTTCTCCAGAACAACTATGTCCTTCTCAAGATGAGGTCTCCATGCTTGGATACAGTATTCCAAATGGGATCGCACCAGAGATTTATACAGTTGAATCGCTACCTTCTTTTCACTAAAGTCAGAGGTACGCTTGTTTATTCCAAGTGTTTGGTTAGCTTTTTTGACTGCCTGGGCAACTGCCTGCTGTGCAACTTTCACTGAGTGGTGGATTTTGACTCCGAGGATCTTTCCTTCATCAATCTCTTGTAATGTAATGTTAATAGTTTGGTAGTTTGGCGTGGGCTATTATGCCCCACATGCAGGGTCTTGAATTTGTCAATATTAAAAAGTATTTGGCAGTCTTCTGACCATTTTTGGAGTTCATGTAGATCTCTTTGTAAGGCTTCAATATCATTATAATTTCTCACTTTACCATATATCGTTGTGTCATTGCATATTTGATGATGTGATTTGTAATATTCTCATCTGTCACTGATAAATATGACAAAAAGGTTTTGCCCCAAAATGGACCCCTGTGGTACCCCACTTACCCCATTTCTCCAATCAGATTCATTCCCATTTATCACGACCATTTGTTTTCTTTGTTTTAACCATTGTTTTACTTATTTTTATTTTTTTATGTATACAAGAGTTCTTACATTTTTGTACAACTACTGGCACGTATAGCGTTTCGGGCAGGTCCTTAATCCTAACATTCCCCGGATTACGACCTGCCAAATCGCTTAACAATCAGGTACTTATTTTACTGTTGGGTAAACAGAGGCTACAGTTAAGGATTGGCGCCCAGTAAATTCTCCTCGGCCAAGATACGAACCCAGGCCAAAGTGCTCGCGAAACGCCAGACGAGGGAGGGAGGGAATTATCAAGGGAAAGCGCCAAGCTATTACGACTATATAGCACTGGGAAGGGATCAGGATATGGATTTGGGATGGGACGGCGGGAAAGAAAGGTGCCCAACTACTTCAATGGTCGGGGATTGAACGCCGACCTGCTTGAAGCTAGACCACTGCTCTACCGTCCAGCTCAAGTGGGACGCTAGGCGAGCGTCTTACCACTACGCCATGGGGACTAGATTAAGTTATTAATTCTAGTATTCTTCCATTTATTCCATGGGCCTGTAATTTCCTTACCAGTCATTCATGTGTTACTTATCAAAGGCTTTAGCAAAATCCATTTATACTACATCAACAGCAAGTCCTTTGTCTGAGTAGCTGGTTACCGTTTCCAAAAATGTAAACAGATTTGTAAGGCAGGATAATGTTTATCAAAATCATGTTGTGTCGATTTTACAAGATTGTTCACTGAAAGATGGTGAATGATTCCCTCACTTAAGATTCTCTCCATGAGCTTGCAGGAGTGTGATGTCAAGCTGATTGAGCAGTAGTTCTCCGCTGAGCTCTTTCTGCCTTTTTTTTTTTAAATAGGGGTGACACTTGCATATTTCTAATCTAGAGGGACTATCCCATGGTCCAGAGACTTTGTGAAAAGTAATTTCAGTGGAAGGCAAAGTTCTTCTGTCAGTTCCTTCTATGACTTTGGATTGTATTCCATTCACACCTGCGGGTTTATGAATATATTAGTTTGTCAATGTTCTTCCCGGTTATGTCGCATGTTATATTGTGCCATCTTTTACCATCCTCGAGGAAAACTCTGGAGCTGGAGCCCCGAGGGGCAGTTCGTTGTGTCCTTCAACCTCGTTCTGACAGTTCCCGCAACAGCACTGGAACCAATCGTATTGGCGTTTGCCTTTCCATTGGAGACTTTCGGCGCCGTGGAGAGGGGTGACCTGGTGCATGGGTGACAGCTTCTCCCCCGTATGAACCTACCCTGGCTTTGCACCCCGGAGAGGTCTCTCCAGACCAACAACCATAGCGCAACTCCATAGTCTCTTGAGACTGATGGTTGTATACTTCTATGGTTATATTCCTAAATTCATTCTGTTCACCTCCTTGAAACATTTGTGTGGGTGATGGGATGTCATATAACTTTTCTAGTGTGAACACTGATGTAAAATATTAATTTAGAGTGTTTGCTGCCCCCAATCACCTCCCTGTAGGAAATGTTTTGCAGTTCCTTTCTCATTCCTTGATAGTTACCTCAATGGTAATCTAGAAATTCATCATCAAGGCCCTTTATATGGGTTCCTATATTTGTAGTCCATCTAAAAATATTGAGACAGAAGGGGTTAGCTTTTCCCCTTCCTAAATTTTGAATCATACCGTCTTCTGATGTTAGCACAAGGTCTAGAATGCTGCTACCCCGTGTGGGCTCAACCACGTGCTGTATGAGAAAGGAGTCCTGTACCAGGTCTGGAAATTGTTCTTCCTCTGCTTGTGACGTTAGACTTACACAATATATGGTCTCATGGTTAAAATCCCCAATTATTAGAGTTTGGGTTTTGGATGCAACATTGATCACATTATGCAAACAGGAACATCCTCAGCTGCTGCTGTGTCAGCCGTGTAGCATACTCCCACAGTCATTTTGCCACCATCTTAAGTTAGTATGTTGCACCATACAGACTCTGAGGATCCCACAGTGTTAGGTTCCTTATTATTTGTTGTATCTAGGTCCTCTTACACGTACAGCATTACCCGCCTTCTCTTGTTGATCTGTCCTTTATGAAAGGTGGGATGGTATCCCGGGAGATGGAATTCCCCCTTCAATTATGTCCTCTTGTCTCCATGTTTCACTGATGCCAGTGATGAAGGGATTTTCATTGGCATCAGTGAAAATAACGGTTTCAAGCTCAACAAGCCAGAGTGTAGGACTAAGAACAGTAGATGCTTTTGCGCCCATAGGGTTATAAACCCATGGAACCGCCTACCCACCGAAGACGTAAATGCCAAAACACTGCTAAATTGTTGATCAAACCACACACAAGAAAGTAAAGGGAAGACGACGTTTCGGTCCGTCCTGGACCATTCTCAAGTCGATTGTGACCTTTGACCTCTGGAGAGGTCACAATCGACTTGAGAATGGTCCAGGACGGACCGAAACGTAGTCGTCCCTTTACTTTCTAGTGTGTGGTTGGTCAAAATATTTCAGTCACGTTATTGTGACTCCTCGACTGCTAAATTATAAAATCCAGCTTGAAAAAATCCTCAGGGCAAATTGGGAGACCTTTGACAGGTTTCCGGCTTCATCCCCTCCGTGGTGCCTCCTTGCCGTGGTGAGGGGCTCACGTACACCTCCCTGGGACCGGTTTGGGTTGCCTGTGCCCCCTCTTTGGGTGGTGTACATGCTGAAGGGTACCATGTAGGGGCCTTGTGAGCCATCGGACCACCCGCTGGAGGGGTCGCCTGTCAGAGGCCGCCCTGAGTGGATAGTTGGGTGTCCAGGCTGGGGCGATAGGGGGGACTGGGGTCTTAGCACCAGTGTGGGAGAATGGACGAAGTAGTAGGACTCTCCTGTTGAAAAGGGGGAACACCGCTGGGGACGACGCACCCTTCTTGCACTGGCCCGCACTCAGCCTCCCTGGCTGCCCTGGTAGGTGGTATCCCTTGGTTCCAGGTCCCATTCTTTAGATATTGGTTTGCTGCATGGATAACGACTTGACTTCTCTTACCCAGGCTCATGGGGTGGGCGACCAGGCACCTTAGTCGGACCGTCCTGGAAGACCGGGATCTGTAGCCCCCACTACAGGACCCGGTTTAGGCCCAGACCAGACTCTTCCTACCTGCTCCCCTCCCTCCTCTGAGGTTGGATCGAGCCCCAAGCCTGCTGTGGTGACCGTCTCGTCCCCTTGCACGGCTCCATCTCTTCTTGTGACTACTGCACCTTTTGACCCATCTCTTTCTATAGGTTCTCATCGCCGTCCCCACCATGGCCGCTCTCGTATGCTCCCTTCCCATACTAATTCATTCCATGCTTTGTTTGAACCTGCTCCGTGGACTAAGTACTTTGACTTCCATCCTTTGGATTCCACTTCTCCTGATGATTTTTCCCTTCAAATGCATCTTGTTGATTCCATAGTTGCCTCTGTCACCTTCAACCCCACCCGTCTTGGTACCCGTGTCGTTGCTGCTCCCTCTCAGGATGCGGCCTCCCGCTTGGCTGCCTTATCCTGCCTTGGCGAGACCCCTGTTCGGGTCTCGAAGAACGCTCAGTTGAATGCCAGTGTTGGCACTATTCTCCTCCCGCACCATGTTGTGACCGGTATTAGGGATCTCAAGGACTGCCACGAGGATATCAAGCATATCCTCGAGGCCCAGGGTCATTCTGTCCTCCAGTTGGATACATTTACTCGTCCCCCTCGTGGTCATCGCCGTCTGCCCCTTCGGGTTGTGAAGATTACCTTTGATGGTAGGACCCTTCCGCCCTCTGTCATTTTTGCTGGTGCCAGATGCTCCGTTCAGGAATATATTCTATCTCCTCGGCTCTGCAGTAAGTGCTGGAGCTTTGGGCATGGTGCCCTCAAATGTTCTAGTTCTGTCTCTCTCTGTCCCTTGTGTGGAGGCGAAGGTCACTCTAAGTTGGAGTGCATTTCTCCCCAGGCCCACTGCCTCAATTGGGGTGAGGCCCACCCTACCTTCTCCCGTACGTGTATTCATTACAAACTTGAGGCGGCTGTCCTCAACTTGAAGCACAGGGACCGTTTGTCTTTTCCTGAGGCTCGGCGCCAAGTTCATCGTCTTCCCTCTTTTGCTGGCTTCTTCTATGCTCGCGTGGTGCGCTCTTCCTCTCCTCGTCATTCCCACCTTCCTCAGTCTCACAACCGTTTTCAAGCCTTAGACCCCGACACGCCCACCATCACCTCCCCCGTTTCCCTCCATTCTGTCCCGGAGGGTCCCCCTTCCTGGTTCTCTGTCTAGGGCTCCCCTTCTTTCTACCCAGTCTGTCACGTCTCCTATGTCTTCTTTCTCCTCTCCCTCTGGTCCTCCTTCCCGTCATTTTCCTCCATCTCTTGGCTCTCCGCGCCGCCTGACTGTGCGGGCCGACGTCCATCGCTCTCCTGGTGGTCGTGTTGTTCGCTCTCGCTCTTCTTCTCCTATCGAAATGCTGGAGTCTGTTGCCCAGTACATTGCTGCTGGGACGCCTATCTCTTTGTGTCAGAAGCGGAAACCTGGCTCCTTTCCTTCCTCCTCCCTAGTCGGTAAGAAGGCTTCACTTTCTTCTTCACCCCCTATCTCTGATTCTATCGTTCCTTCCCCTCCCGCTTCGGTGGTGGGGCCCCCTGTTCCTACTGTGGGGGTTTCTTACGCCCCCAGTTCCATCTCGGTTACTGCCCTTGCTGAGGTGTGCTCCCCTCTTTCTGCCCCTCCTCTTCCTCCTCCAGACCCTGCTCGTTCACCTCTGGTCCGTCCTCCCGCTTCTTTTCCTCCTTCTTTACTCAGTATTACCATGCCCCCTAACCCTGACTTTGCAAACCCTGATCCTGACCCTGTGCTTTTTTAACGTGCTGTTTTCCTTCTTCATCTTTGTTTTTTTCTTTGCTCTCTGTTGCTCTCCTCTCTCTCTTTGCCGATGTCTATTCTTCAATGGAACATTCGTGGATATTACGCCAATTTCCTTGACCTCCAACTTCTCATTTCACAGTTTTCGCCCCTTTGTGTCTGTCTCCAGGAGTCGATGCTTGGTGCTCGTCCTGGTCGCTTCTGTGGCTATTCTTTTCTCTCCCACCCCCTAGCTGTTGCTGGGGCCCATAATTCTTCTGCTCTCTTGATTCGCTCCGATGTTCCCTTTGTCCCCTTACTTTTTTCATCGCCTCTCCACTGTTCGGCTGCTCGTGTCTTTGTGCGTAGATGGTACATGGTTTGTTCCATTTATCTCCCCCCCCCCACTGTCCCACTTTCTCTTCCCGATCTTAAACACCTCCTAAACTCCTTGCCGGAGCCTGTGCTCCTGCTGGGTGATTTCAATTGTCGTCATGCCCTTTGGGGTGATGTGCTGACAAACACCCAGGGTCGCCTCCTTGTACCTTTCATCCTCTCTTCTTCCCTGTCCCTTCTTAATTCTGGTGAGCCCACTCATTTGGACTCTCGGACTCGCTCTCTTTCTTGTCTCGATCTTTCTCTGTGGTTGTCTTCCCTTTCCTTCGATTTCGGGTGGCAGGTCCTTGATGACCTCCATGACAGTGACCATTTTCCTATCCTTGTTACTTTTTTCTCTTTTCACGCTCCTCTCTCCTTCCCTAGGTGGCGGTTTGCCGAGGCTGACTGGCGCCTCTTTACTCTCCAAGCTACTATTTCCGATCTCTCCGTTCTGCCTCTCCCTCGTGCCCTCCTTGTTTTTCATGAGACTGTCTTTGACGCTGCCCTCCACTCTATTCCTTGCTCTTCCTCTCGGGGAACGCGGAAGTGCGTTCCCTGGTGGAATGTGGACTGTGCTCGGGCTGTCCACTGTAAGCGTGCAGCCTGAAAGAGACACCGCCGCCGGCAGACGGTTAAGTCTTTTCTTTTGTTTCGGAATGCGAGTGCTGTGGCCCGTAGGACCATCCATGCGGCTAAACGTGCTTGCTGGAAGTCTTATGTCTCCTCCGTTACGTCCTAAACTCCACTCCCACTGGTCTGGAAGTGTATCCGCAAGATTGCGGGTAAGTTCGTTCCCGATGTCTCACCGGTCCTTCGCCTCAATGGTGCTCTTGTGGCGGACCCGTTGCAGGTCGTGACCAAACTGGGTTCCCATTTTTCATCTGTTAGTTCTGGTTCTCATCTTCCCCAATCCTTCCTTCTTCGTAAGCCTATTCTTGAATCTCATCCTTTAAATTTCTGTACTTATCTTCGCCTTCCCTATAATGATCCCTTCTCGCTCTCTGAGCTTCAGTCTGCATTAGCCCTTTGCGGTTCTACCTCAACGGGCTCTGATGGCATTCATTATGAAATGCTTCGCATCTCCCTCCATGCACGTCTCAATATTCTGTATAATCGGGTCTGGGAGTCGTCGTCAGTCCCTGAAGACTGGCTCGATGCTGTTGTCCTCCCTGTTCGGAAACCAGGGTCTCTCGGGTCATCCCCCAAGGACTTCTGCCCTATTGCCCTGAACCACATCAAACGTTCGTTTGATATGGTTCTTACAACACTATCACCACCTCTCCCCTTCTCAATTTGGTTTTCGCAAGTGCCGCGGCACAACGGATGTCCTGGTGAACTTGGAGGTCTATGTTCGTACTGCTTTTGCTGCGAAGACCTCCGTTGTTGCCGTCCTTTTTGACCTGGAAAAGGCTTACGACACTACCTGGCGGTATCATATTCTGTCTCAACTTCATTCTTTTGACCTTCGTGGAAATCTCCCTCTCTTCCTCCAGAGCTTCCTTGTGCCATGACTTTTACTCGGAAGCATGTAGTTCTTCGTCCCTCTTTGTCGCTTTATGGTCATCCCCTTGTGTACAGGGATTCCGCAAAGCTTTTGGGGTTAGTCTTTGACACTCGTTTGTCTTGGTCAGCCCATATCTCTTACCTCCGAGTTGAATGCTCTAAGGCTCTTAACCTACTTAAGGTTTTGTCCCATACTTTTTGGGGAGCAGATAGGCACACGCTCCTCTATTTGCACTCCTCTCTCGTCCTGTCTAAACTCGATTATGGTTGCCCTGCATACTCTTCTGCTATTCCTTCTACTCTTCGCCGTCTTGATGCTTTGCACCATACTGGGTTACGTCTCAGCTCTGGTACCTTACCTTCCGGCATCATGTCTTCGTCGATGCAAGTAATGAGTTAGTGGCCCTCAGATAAATTCAGGTAAGTAACGTTTGGGGTTAAGGAAGACTACTGTTGGGCGACTCGGAGGACTGCTGAGTTGCGTTTTCCTTGTCATTTTATGTATATATATCTAATGTACTGTTTGTAAATCTTAAATAAAATAGAGAAAAAGTTAGGTGGTAGTGTGGGCATCGAAGCAGCCAGCAGAGCCAGCAGTGAGCCGGTGTGATGTATGAAGAGAGCAGAGTGCATCTGGTGGTAGGAGCCGAGCAGTGGGTGCCCTGGCTGCGCATCACAGAGCACCCGGTCACTAGGGAACTCACCTACTCAGGAATCATGTACAACCTTCTCCTCGCTCTCTCTCAGACCATGAATTTCACGTGAGTAGAACTGTCTCCTGAAATACGCACGGTAACAACTTGACAAATATGTGATTAAATCATTCGAAGCTTTTCGTTTTGGACTATTGATGGTTCAATAATGGATTTGCTTAGACTCTGATTATGGTTAATGTATTTTTTTTCTGTCAGGTATGAGCTGAGGCGACCTGCAGACGGACTGTGGGGCGTGGGGTTCCCCAACGGGTCGTGGAGCGGCATGCTAGGCATGGTGAAGAGGGGGTAGGTTGCATCCCTCTGCTGTTCGAGAGAAAAAGCTCTCAACCTTTCTCTCAGCGACCCACAGCGGAAACAGGCTTCCCTTCCTGTCAGACTCGGGGCCTCAGCATTCGTACAGCAACACAAATTGCTATACCAGCGTTCCTGTCCTCTTCAGTGGCGTCTGACAACCTGGTGAAGGAAATCCTACCTGAATACCTAGGTCAACAAGCAGGGGGTACATGATTCCAGCGGTACAGACTGCACCACCAAATGGGTATCTCTCTTACAGGACCAGCACCCCAACCACTACTTTCTGAAGCCCAGAAGCAATCCAGCTGGGATCGCCCCATTGCTGACCAAGAAGCTGCGACATTGCTAGAAACTGCAACAACACCATATGACACTGCTTGACTTAAAGCTGTAGCAGCTCCCCATGCAGGGGACTTCCTATTAGCAACCCCAATGTCAGCAACCGGCACTTGTCTCACACTGCAGGCTCTTCGAATTGCTGTGGCTCTCCGCCTCGCTGCCCCAATCCACACCGAATACAGGTGTAATTGCGACGAGGCAGTGACCAACAGGTACGGACGGCATGACCTTCTATGCCAAAGGACAGGAGGATGGCATGCAAGACAGGGGTGAGGTTAATGACATTATTACGAGAAGTCTTACTACAGCCGGTTGTCCAGCAAAGCCTCTCATTAGGTAATGAGAGAGCCCCATTACCTAATGCCCCGCAACTCTAATGAGCCTGTCGGTCGCCCAGATGGGATCAAGGTGAACCCCTGGAAGAATGGTAGACAGTTGGTGTGGGACTACACTTGCGTTTCAACTTTAGCCAATACCTATGTTGCTGTCAGTGCTGCACAGGCAGGAGGTGCTGCCAATCACCGAGAAGCAGCCAAGTCACGAAAATACAGAGACCTTGATCACCACTACAATTTTGTCCCCATTGCCTCAGCAACTCGTTCTCGCAATTTCGTATAGTCAATATTGACTTATTAAATACGTGCATATGTGACATACTAAACATGTGTATGCTGCCATATACCTATTATAGGTATAGGTTAAGTAATAATTGAAATTACGAAGCAATAAGATGCTTATCTTAACGTACTAAGAAGGTTAGGTAAGGTCGGTGTTTTCTATGAAGCTTTTCAAGGTAAACTAGTATGTTTAGTATGTCACATATGCACGTATTTAATAAGTCAATATTGACTGAAGGAAGTGCGAGAACGGGTTGACCTCAGAGACACTTGGTGCCTGGGGTAAAAGTGCTACTAGTTTTTTGAAGGAGCTGGGGTTCAAGCTAACTGAAGCAACTAGAGAGCCTCCAGTTTTCTCTTTCAGCGCGTTAGTGTGACGATCCTGAGAGAAAATGCTCTCTGCATCAATGGTTTCTGTCTGCCATCTGAGGAGCTGGAGGAGCTCTACAACCTGTGACAAGTAGCTTTGTACCCTGCATGTAGCTAATGTTGTAACCCTTTTTGTGCAATGAAATTTTAAAATAAAGTTAGATATATATACACACATACAAAAAGAATTGGCGTGGTAGGAGAAGAAAATATCAGTGTTCAGTGAGGATCCACAAGATCTTCTCTGAGTACTCTTTATTTTCTTCTCCGAGGCTATATAATATATATATATATATATATATATATATATAATATATATATATATATATATATATATATATATATATATATATATATATATATATATATATATATATATATATATATGCCTAAGGCATATATATGTATATAAGGCATATATAAGGCATATATATCTAAATACTCCGAAATTACCATCTCTTTTAAGGGTCTGAGTGGGTGGTGGAGCGGGTTAAGGCGTACCTGTTATGCCAGTTGCTGGAAGGCTTCTGTGCTGGCTAGGGTTCGAGTCTCCTGGTGGGAAAGTGTTCTAAAGTTGTATATATATATATATATATATATATATATATATATATATATATATATATATATATATATATATATATATATATATATATATATATATATATATATATATATATATATATATATATATGTCGTACCTAGTAGCCAGAACGCACTTCTCAGCCTACTATGCAAGGCCCGATTTGCCTAATAAGCCAAGTTTTCCTGAAATAATATTTTTTCTCTATTTTTTTTCTTATGAAATGATAAAGCTACCCATTTCATTATGTATGAGGTCAATTTTTTTTTATTGGAGTTAAAATTAACGAAGATATATGACCGAACCTAACCAACCCTACCTAACCTAACCTAACCTATCTTTATAGGTTAGGTTAGGTAGGTTAGGTAGTAGAAAAAACATTAATTCATGAAAACTTGGCTTATTAGGCAAATCGGGCCTTGCATAGTAGGCTGAGAAGTGCGTTCTGGCTACTAGGTACGACATATATATATATATATATATATATATATATATATATATATATATATATATATATATATATATATATATATATATATATATATATATATATATATATATATATATATGTCGTACCTAGTAGCCAGAACGCACTTCTCGGCCTAATATGCAAGGCCCGATTTGCCTAATAAGCCAAGTTTTCCTGAATTAATATACTTTCTCTAATTTTTTTCTTATGAAATGATAAAGCTACCCATTTCATTATGTATGAGGTCAATTTTTTTTATTGGAGTTAAAATTAACGTAGATATATGACCGAACCTAACCAACCCTACCTAACCTAACCTAACTTATCTTTATAGATTAGGTTAGGTTAGGTAGCCGAAAATGTTAGGTTAGGTTAGGTTAGGTAGGTTAGGTAGTCGAAAAACAATTAATTCGTGAAAACTTGGCTTATTAGGCAAATCGGGCCTTGCATAGTAGGCTGAGAAGTGAGTTCTGGCTACTAGGTACGACATATATAAATATAAATAAATAAATAAATGAATATATATATATATATATATATATATATATATATATATATATATATATATATATATATATATATATATATATATATATATATATATATATATATATATATATATATATATATATATATGTCGTACCTAGTAGCCAGAACGCACTTCTCAGCCTACTATGCAAGGCCCGATTTGCCTAATAAGCCAAGTTTTCACGAATTAATTGTTTTTCGACTACCTAACCTAACCTAACATTTTCGGCTACCTAACCTAACCTAATCTATAAAGATAAGTTAGGTTAGGTTAGGTAGGGTTGGTTAGGTTCGGTCATATATCTACGTTAATTTTAACTCCAATAAAAAAAATTGACCTCATACATAATGAAATGGGTAGCTTTATCATTTCATAAGAAAAAAATTAGAGAAAGTATATTAATTGAGGAAAACTTGGCTTATTAGGCAAATCGGGCCTTGCATAGCAGGCCGAGTACGACGTTCTGGCTACTAGGTACAACATATATATATGTATATATATATATATATATATATATATATATATATATATATATATATATATATATATATATATATATATATATATATATATATATATAGATATATATACACATGTATAAAATAAATCTTCTCGACAGAAGTGGCGAGGGCGTGCCTCTGGAGCCTTAAAACCAGCTGCTCCAGGTAGATGAGACTCGATAGCCTGGGAAGGCAGCCCATCTAATGGAAGGAAAACCCTGATTTTAAGCCTCCGCTGCCTTTCTGCCATACCCCTTTTTTGAGAAAGGCTTCAGGAGTCAACCTCGAGGAAAAATCCGGAGTAGGAGCCCCTAAGGCAGTTTGTTGTTGACTTCGACCTCGTTCTGGTAGCTCCTGCGACGGTGCTGGAACCATGTCTATTGGGATTTGCCTTTCCATTGGATAATTTCAGCAAAGTGGAGAGGGGGGGGGGGGGGGAAAGAACCTGCTGTATGGGTACCAGCTTCTCCTCCATATCTACCTACCCAGGCTTTGCGCCCTGAAGAGGACACTCAGCGTCGCCTCACAGCGTCGAACCAATACGGGAAGCGACAGTCTACCGGTTTTAAGTCTTCTGCTCGATTGGCGAAGAGTGTGACGCCAGGGATTGTTTCGGACAGTGGGAGGGGTTATCGCGCCCCACTGGGCAGCTACAGGTCGCCTCAAGCTGGGCAAACCCCAGCAAATAAGGTGTTGCCTCGCCACGGTCCGTTAACCTCACTGGGTGCGTAGGGTTTAGGATGAAAACTGACAAGCGGCCCGACAACTTTGCACCAAGCAATATTAAACCTAAAAAGAAAATATCAACTGCCCTAAAGCTGGGTACATGGAATGTCAGGACACTGACACCAGGTTTCTCTGACGACCTGCAAAAAATCAACGACGCCCAAAAAACAGCAATCATCGATAGGGAGCTGAGCAAACTGCAGATGGATTTTGTTGCTCTCCAAGAGACCAGGCTTCCAGGATCAGGATCTGTGAGAGAGAGGGCCATCTCTTTCTTCTGACAAGGAAAACCTCCAGATGAGTACAGAGAACATGGTGTGGGATTTGCATCAGGAATGCACTGTTGGGATACATTATGCCACCGATGGGGGAAACCAAACAAATTCTGTCTCTGCAACTGCACTCCCAAACAGGACCAATCAATGTAATTAGTACATATACACCAACCCTGACTTCTCCAGCAGAGGCAAAGGAAAAATTCTACGATGACCTCAACAGAGTCATAGCGAGAATCCCTGTAAAGGAGCCACTGCTCATCCTCGGCGACTTCAGCGCCAGAGTGGGTGCCAATCACAACTTTTGGCCCACTTGTCTGGGACAATTCGGCATAGAGAGGATGAATGGAACAGGCAACGTCTGCTAGAATTCTGCTGCCTTCATGGTCTCTGTGTCACCAACACGTTCTTCGGCACAAAGCCTCAACACCGAGTATCTTGGAGACACCCCAGATCCAAGCACTGGCACCAGCTTAACCTGATTCTTACCAGGCGTGTAAGTTTACCTAGCGTTAAGATTACGCGTAGCTACCAGAGTGCTGTCTGTGACATTGACCACTCCATGGTATGTAGCAGGGTCAAGA